ATAGTACACTATACTAGTATACTATATTTATTATATTTACATGAAGAAGTAGTACTATATATACTACAAAACAAGATTTTTCAAAATGAGGGCCCCACCCTCAATGACCACCAACGGTCATATTAATTGCACAAATGACCACTTACTGGTCATATTAATTGCACAAATAGCCTTTTTTTTAAAAAAATTACAAAACTAACCTTCTCTAACACTATAAGTACCCCCCTCCCTCTTCTTCATTTCAATACTCAATACTCATTTCTCAATCTAAATTTCTCTCAATCTCCAATTTTCAAGACTTCAAGTCTCAATCTCAATTTTCAAGTTAAATCATGCCTCGTTCGGAAAGAGTGCGCTTGTTTGTGTCGCAATACTATTGAAGTGCTTGAAGAAAATGAAGAAGGCCAAATATTAAAGTGCAAGAACTGTGGAAGAGTCTTAAATTTTCGTTCAGGGTGTACCACAGGCATTTTAAGGAGGCATATAAAGTATCGTGTTGAGGGTATTTATCCGCAAATTCGTCTTTAAGATTTTTCAACAATTTGTGTTATTTTAAAATTATTAGACGTATTTATGCTTCATGTTGTACTTTGTTATTAATTTATTATGCATGCCAATTTAGTTTTACTATTGATTTGTTATTTTACATTTTCGTCAAACACTTTAATAATTAGATTTCTATATTATATATACCACATATATTTATATAGCCATGCATAAGAGCAATTTACATATATACATACACATATGGTTTACAAGAAATTGCCCTAAATAAAAAAAATTAAAAAAAAAAAAGCCCGGAAATAAAAAAGCCTGTTAGGCCCGCTAAGCCCACGAGCCCGGCCCATTTAGCCCAGGACCATATGGGCTTAGGCCCGTCACGGGCTGGTCCTACCCGTTGAGCCCACGAAGCCCGGGACCTCCAGAGCCCGGGACCGCTAAGCCCAGACCCGTTTAGCCCGGCCCGTTTAGCCCATTTAGGCCCGGGCCCGGGACCACATACAGCCTTACTTCCATTCCAACCAATGATGGTTGGAAGAGGACTTCAGGGCAACGGAATCTCACTGCACCAATATTAATGACTTGTCTATCAGGAAGCTCATAGCCCTTCTCAACTGATTTTGAGCAATTTTTTGCCTTTTCAATCTCCTGTTCAAAATCAAGTGCAACATAAGCAGTCCTCTCCTTCATATATGAGCTAAATGGAAAAGCACTCTCCGCGAGAATCTTCACGAGATAATCTGTAAGATGACGGCCACCAAGATTTAATCGTGAGATAGCATGCGGAAGTGCATGCCCCTCATAGATTGGGACAGTTTGGCTTACACTAGTACCAGAGTTAAGCACAATACCTTGTCAGAGAACAACAAATAAATTAGTGACTGGCTAAGACAGTAGTGAACCAGCATATGCTGATATACCATCTGCTGCTTACCAGTAAGACGACCTCTAGCATATAGAGAAAGAACAGCCTGGATTGCGACATACAGAGCTGGCACATAGAATGTCTCAAACATGATTTGAGTCATTTTCTCTCGGTTAGCCTTAGGGTTACATGGTGCCTCAGTCAGAAGAACGGGATGCTCCTCAGGAGCAACACGGAGCTCATTGTAAAATGTATGGTGCCAGATTTGCTCCATATCACCCCAGTTGTTTACGATACCACATTCAATCGGATATTTTAGAGTCAGCATACCTCTTTTAGACCAAGCTTCATCACCAGCATAGGCATCTTTTTGTCCCATTCCAACCATGACGCCACTGTGACGAAGACGACCAACTAGAGTTTCAAAAACAGCCCTTGGAGAATCATCCCCAGCAAAGCCGGCCTAAAAAAACAAACAAAACACTTATGATTCATTAGCAGGTCACATAGGGGGCAGTACAGCAAACACCACGCATGGAGCTGAAACTGCAAGCGGTTTGTTCTAACAAACCATGCACCGTCCAGTTCCGTTGTAGATAACAACTGGTTGATCATCCTTCCAATAAGCCATCTTGTAAGAGACTTCAAACACTTGTTCTGTAAGTATAACTTAGGTGAGATTGACATGTAAAAATACAGAGTCAAAGTGAAAATTGTTTACATATCACCTCAGTAATAGGAATTTCTTCCTTAATATATAGTTTGATTCTCCTTTTTATCTCCTTTCAAGCTCAAGGTGAGATAGATTTTCCAATTTCTAGTACAAATCACCAGCTATTAGCACATGAACCTTCTCTCTGACTCTCTGAAACAACGAGAGCAAATGAAAGAGCAATTTGAAGATATGTCATCATGTAATTAAAAAGCCCATCATATGGATTTTCAGAAATACTAATTCTTCTTCCTGCCAATGGAAAAAAAAGAGCAAAATGCTGTTTAGCTAGTGGTACTTCCCAAAATAACATGTCCCCGCTCTATACCAAGATATGTTAAAATACTTAGAACCTGAAGAAAATCCACATTCATAAAGAATGGTGATGAACCTAAGACACAGAATGTTAGGCTCATAGTCGCATTAATGTAACGAATAATTCTCCTAGCAATCAATAGTCTCATCGGTCTTCGACTTTCTCTTTTGTAATCACTTGCAAATTCGTACACAAATTTCTAAGTAAAAATTTAACATGTGAAGACAATGTGGGTCATCTGAACCAAATTATGTTAGTGAAGACACTCATAAGCTTGTGTAATGAAATAATCAATATCACATTCTTATTTTTTTTAACCAATTTATGACAAAGATGATGTAGATAAATTCTATGGATCAAAACATATATGTTCAGCAACATTTGACATTTGGACCAGAACCACATGAAATCATCATACAATGTGTCAAACTGAATCTAAAATCAAGACTCAGAAACCCAAAATTTAGTGAACTGCTCGTTTAGCAACCAATACCAATGCACATAAATACATGTGAAACGGAAAAAAATCAAATTCGAGAACGAGTTAAAGGACAGAAAATGATCGATCATCAAATGGAATTGAAGCTTACTTTTATGGATACGAACCCATTGCTAGTTCAGTATTGAGCGTCCAAGGAACAGAATAAATTAGAAAACAGGAAAAAAGTTATCCTGCCTTTACAGAAAATCAATGGATATATTTTCCTCGGTAACAAAAATGACCTTATATTTTCCATAATATTTAGGAGAGAGAAGCTAGAATCCAAACACTCCTATACTATTGACGCGTGTAAATAATTGTAAATGAAATAAAAACTCAAGTTTTCAATCAAATCATTATTGCTCTTGGGCTTTATTTTTCTTTTTCTCGTTTTCTTCTTTACCGAATAACAAACCAAATCTTTTGTTTATTGCTTTTATTACGTAAAAATTCACGGCGCTCATTTGATCGTCCCATTTAACCTATATCTTTTTTTTAAAATTTTAAGTTGTACCTACTTTTTAAATAACTTTAAGCATCTTTTTCCTCTTTCTTTCTTCTTCGTGTGACAGTGATTTTATATGGTATTTGTGAACATATTTTAAGATAGCTTATGATGTTTTACAATGGTGAGTTATCATGACGCTTTATTTTTTACTATTGCTTAGGGTTCTTCTTCTTCTTTTTATTAATTGCAAAATGGATTATTGTTGTTTTGATAAATTGATTATTGGGTTTGTTCTTGATGATATTTAGAGGCTATGTTTCAAAGTTGAGCTCATTTGGAGTAGATTTATATATTAAATCTTATATAGGATTATTATAATTCGAAAAACAAATTTCTGTTTATAGGCAATTTGCACTTAAGACCAAATATTTGCACTTCAGGCCTATTTGGTCTTAAGTGCATGAAAACATTGGTTGCACTTTAGACCTTTTGGCCTTATGTGCACCTGAAGTGCAATTTTTCATTTCAGACTTATTGGTTTTAAGTGCATTAAATTGTTTGTTGCATTTCAGACCTTTTGGCCTTAAGTGCATTTGAAGTACAATTTATCACTTCAGACTTATTAGTTTTAAGTTCATGAAACCATTGGTTACACTTTAGACCTATTTGGCCTTAAGTGCATCTGAAATGCAATTTTTCACTTCAGACTTATTGGCTTTAAGTGTAGGAAAACGTTTGTTACACGTAAGACATTTTGGCCTTAAGTGCATCTGAAGTGCAATTTTTAACTTCAGACTTATTGGCCTTAAGTCCATGAAACCATTGGTTACACTTCAGACCTATTTGGCCTTAAGTGCATCTGAAGTGCAATTTTTCACTTCAGCCTTATTGGCCTTAAGTGTAGGAAAATGTTTGATGCACTTCAGACCTTTTGGCATTAAGAGCATTTGAAGTGCAATTTTTCACTTCAGACTTATTGGCCTTAAGTGCATGAAACCATTGATTGCACTTCAGGCCTATTTGGCCTTAAGTATCTGAAGTGCAATTTTTTCACTTCAGACTATTTTTTTTTAGTTTCAAACCTAATAAGTCTGAAGTTGATCGTAAAGTGAGTAAGCTTGCAATTTTTTTTGCAAAGTGGGTATAGGTTCAATTGTGACCCCAAAACTGGGTATAGATACAAAAGCTTTTATTATTCTACCTCCATATTGCACCTTTTTTTTTAACTTTGATCGCAAAAATATATTAATAAGTATTTTGAAATAAAATTTATATATTTGAAACTATATAAAAAGTAGTATTAATCACAATCATTAACAATTTAAAATAATTAAAAAAAATAAAATCACGATTAAAGAAAAACTCATTTATCTCTCAAAACCAAAACTATATCACATAAATTGGGACATAAAAAGTAATACCAATTACTAGTTGTTTATTTTTTATTTACATGCTTTGATCATGTTCTACGGCGCACCAGAGTGTGGCTAGTCAATTAGGATTTAGTCTTAGAATGCTAGTGGCTATCTACTAGTGCCGGACTTCATCTACTGGTTATTGTTTTACTTTTCATCTATTTCGTGTTTCTTATGATGTAGTTAATTTTTCTATGGTTTTATTGATGGTACTAATATATCGTCTCTTTTTGTCTTTTTTAGCCGACGGTCTCCCGAAAACAACCTCTCTGCCTCTCGGTGTAGGGGTAAGGTCTGCGTACACATTACCCTCCCCAGACCCCACTAGTGGGATTACACTGGGTCGTTGTTGTTGTTGTTGTATGCTTCGATCATGGATATGAAGGATAAGTTTTATTATATATAGGAAAAATATATAAGTGCCCCCTGATCTATAGTCGGATTTCCAACTACACACTTCAACTTTGCGGGGGACTATTATCCTCCCCCTCCCCCCCCCCTCCCTACCCCCCCCCCTCGAATTATTTTAAAGTAGAATGAACATCCCCTTGAGAGATGACGTGGCACAGAAAGTGTGTTCACTTTCTTGGAGGCGTGTGAGAGCATAAAATTTCCTTAGAATTTTATTAAATGTCTACATATGTCTTTTTACTATTGGATACTTTACAATTAGTTATATTTTATTAATAAAATAATCTCTAACACATTTAATTATTTTCGGCCACTGTAAGAGATTCCCACAAGAACTCTGGCGAACTCCTTGCTAGAAAAAATGGAGTCCAGCTCACCATTTTCATCTTCGTTCACTTTTATTTTTACCCGTACATCCCCATTTTTCAGCGATAACAAACACCCAGTAAAAACTACCAACTAGTGAATTAAAATACGAAGATAATGATGGTTTGATAACTCTAAAACTTGAGAGTATCAAAACCACCGGCGACGGTTTTGTCTCCAACGATGATAACGATTCTAATCCTCTAAGAAGTTCTTGAGGATTAATATATCCATCTTTCTTTTATGTTGTACTCTAATTGATCGAGTGTTAATTAGTTGAAATTATGTTTATATTAATGTAATAAAGTTCTGTGGTTATGGGGGGAAAGAAGGTGGCTAATGCGATAATAGGTGAAATAAAAATGGTGGAAGTCAAAAAAAAATTTTGGAGGTGATAAAGATATTATTTCTGGTAAAGCCGATATGATAATGGTAATTTTTGGGGATGTTGATAATGGATGCGAGAGAAGGAATAGATAAAGAAAGGAGAAGATTGAAAACACTGGAAAAAAAATTTAATTTTAGCGTGTACTCTACCACACAACATATATGTGGTTGTGATATTTTAAGGATAAATTTATCCTGTTTTAAAATAGTTTAGGAGGTAATAAGACTCCCATAAAATTTAATTGTGTAAATGAAAATCTGACTATAGGTCAGAGAGTACTTATGCCTTTTCCCTTATATATACCTCTAGTCAATACTTGAGGAGTTTCACAAATTTCACCTTCCCCATTTTCAATTCTCGAAAAAGAACTCTACCAGCGCATTAAAATGAAGAGAAAGAAGGAAAAGAATTGGAGAATTTGGTTAAATGACAATATTGCCCATCTTTTAAAGTTTTAGCAAGGGTGTTATTTAAGATTAAAGAATCTATATCTATATCTATCTATATTATTATAAAAGCAAGAATATTACACGCTAAATGTTGAACGACAAAAATATCCTTCAAATATTGATAGACTCTTTTAACCTTAGTAAATTAAATTAAGCTCCATTGCATCTTGGACAAAATAGTAACATTCCTAATATTATGGTTTTCGAAGGTAAGTATATTTCAATTTTTATAGGATTCTAATACCAATCAGGTGTCCTGCATATTAGCGAAGACACACAAATCCCACGCCATTAAACCACTATATAAAGTGATACAAATTACATTCTGCAACAATCTCTCCCCAATTTGTACGAGACCCAGAGGCAGTTTATGTAGTGTTAACTTCATATTTGTTGTGTGTCCTATTATCTAAAGTTTTCTTTCCTTTAATGCTTCTAATCATCTTTCTACTTGCTAGCATAATTCTTTTCTAACATCGTGTTAGTTTTGCTTGTCTTGTATCTTTACTTTCGATTGTTGATTTTGTTTTTCTCCAAACGGGGACTAATTTGTGTAATGTTGAAAACATGAAATTCTTTCCCTTTAACGTTTTCTTTTTCTTTTTGTCCCTATTTGTCTTGCCTTTTTTTTGTGGGGAGGTTCTAGGGTCTTGAAACTAGAGTTTTGGCATCTATCATGAGTGATGGAGTATGCTTTCGAGGGATTGAGTCTTGATGGCGGCAAAGATCAATCAAAAAGTTTCAAGAACAACGTCAATATAGTCAAATAAATAACGGAAAAGACCTAAATATGCCATTCAACTTTTAGAAATGATCTATGCATGTCATCCGTTAAAAAAATGCTCATTTCATGCCACTGCCGTTAAAGAAATGGACCATCCATGTCATTATTGACTAACGGCAGTGGCATGGATGAGCCAAATAAAAATTGAGCCGTTAGTCAATAATGGCACGGATGGGCCATTTCTTTAACGGCAGTGGCATGAAAATAGCAAATTTTTTAACGGATGGCATGGATAAACCATTTCTGAAAGTTGAGTTGCATTTTTAGGCCTTTTCCGAATAAATAATGAACAGCAACGTACCTCAGCAAGAAGACCCTATATATTGGGACTGTATGTTTCTTGCATTGATAATTAAATCGAGAATTAAATCTTTTCATGAAGCAAATTATACACTTTTAATGATTTAATAATTTTGCGATACTTGAAAGATGGACGTAAAGCATTCTATACATAATTCTTCTGGTTTTCTTATTAATTCTGAATTAGATAAATAATATCTATTTATGTGTGTATAGTCCTAGACTTTCTGTAATCGGAAAAGGGCCAGAACTATCCCTATCATTTGCTAAATGGTTTATAAATACCCTCCGTTCGTCTATCCAAAAAAAACACACGAAGTTAATTCTATTAACAAAAATACCCCCGCGACTAAAGGCAGAACTGATGGAGTGTGTTTTTTTGAACGGATAGATGGACGGAGGGTATTTATAAACCATTTAGCAAACGATAGGGATGGGTTTTTCATTTAATGACGTGACAATTTTTAATTGGGCCACGTGGCATTATTGACCAAGAATCAAATATGGGTCTTATTTTTACCCATTTACCTGGTCCGACCCTATTTATTTGACCCGCCTAATTATTTTCTTTCTTTTTCTTTGCTTTTTTTTTCCCTCTCTTTTTGACCCATTTGCATGGTCCCCCTCTTCTTCTTCTT